GATAACAAAATCACCTTGAACCAAGAGAGAAGCGGGAACTTCTCTCACTAGGTTTGAAATTCAAAATTTAACTCATATTAGCATCTGAGTTGAATACTTGTTAAAACTCTTCATGGACCAAATTATTCCCTACTCAAATTAGTTGGAGAGCTTTCAAACAATGTGGCAAGCTTGGCTGAGATAAAAGAAATATTGACTTCTGGAAATCGTATGTGTGCTGTTATTTAGTGTTGTTTCCGCCATTGTTGTACCTTGCGGATTGTATTGGTGCAATAAAGAAGTCCTTCTATACATATTATGCCAAAGTTAATGTTCCCTTAGAGTTGAAACAAGGCAATCAATGTATTGTTTTCTGTGTTATTACATTTTGATTTTATTGTGAGAACGACCAAGATGACAGTTTCTCATAATTCTTAAATCAAATCCCTTGTTGGCAGTGTATTGGGAATATTGATGTGTATACTTTTGTTCAATTATTGCAAAACAAACATAAGCTAACACTCTTGCATCATGGCCCTGTCTTGTTACAGTTATCTAGATTTTAATGTGATAATAAGAGCTAATTGTGGTGTGCTGAGTTGTGATGAGTTCTGATAATGCTGATGCCTAAGAAAAAATTTACACCAGTTTTGGCCTCTTAAGCTGGCATTCTAACCGACTGTCTTGTCTCCTTATTGTGGTTAAGTATTTTGTTTTTGAGTGGTAGCTAAATCTTGTAGGAGACACTAAGAGTCAAGGATGAGGAATTGCAGAATTTGGCTCGAGATCTTCGGGCTCATGATTCAACAATAAGAGAAATAGCAGAGAAACTTTCAGAGACTGCTGAAGCTGCTGAATCTGCAGCATCTGCAGCTCATATAATGGATGACCAAAGGAGAATTGCTTGCGCAGAAATTGAGTGCTTAACCAAAGATTCAGAAAAACAAAAGGAAGCATTCATGGTAAAGGTATGACTAAATTTAAATTGTTTAACCCATCTTATTGTTAGCATCTTGCTGTGATGGAGTCAATTGCATCCGAGAATCATCTATTTGTTTACCCTTCTTCTATCATCATCTTCCATCATTATTGTTCAAATCTAATTCACTTAGCATCACTAAAATTGCTTTTCACTTCTGAGAAGTCACCTTTAATAGTCTTGAACTGGGCTTTATGATTCTGACGTACCGGTGGTAATAATCATAAATTTTGTTGTAAAGTTTTTTTCTTTGTTTTTTGTAGCTGATGGAGTCTGAAGGAAAGATTGGGGTCCTAAGTAAAGAAAGAGAACAATTGATTAAGCAGAGAGACTCTTTCGTGCAGGAGGCACATATGTGGCGTACTGAGCTTGCAAAAGCTCGAGAGAATGCTGTGATAGTAGAAGCAGCAGTTGTGAGAGCAGAGGAGAAGGTCAGGGTCACCGAAGCGGATGCCGAAGCAAGAATAAAAGAAGCAGCACAGAAAGAGGCTGCTGCTGTGAAGGAAAAGCAAGAACTTCTCGCATATATGAATGTATTACAGGCACATCTCCAAAGGTCTGCCTTTACCCTTTCTAGAAATCCTTTGAACTGTGTCTTGTAAATACGATTGTGAAGCAACAGACGTAGAAATTTTCTTCTGTTTTCGTTTGCAGACAACAGAGTGACACAAAGCAAATTTTTGAGGAGAAGACCGAGTCCTCAAACACCAGTAACAGTCCACCCGATACGAAGGATGTTGACTTGTCAGATAATGTAGATAAAGCTTGTCTTAGCGTTTCTAGATCAGTCCCACTGCCAGGGGAGAGCGTGGTTCACATGGCAGTGGATCAAGTTAACATCCAACCAGATGGTGACGGTGCATGGAGCGATATTCAGGCGACAGAGGCAAGAATAGCTGATGTGAGGGAGATAGACCCGGAGACGGACGGAAGTAGCCATGATATTTCTGTCGATAACCAAGCAATCGACAAGCACCACGAACAAGGACCATCCTCTTTCCACTAGCCTTAAGAGAGTATTACACATATAAAGACACTCGGGTTTTTAGGGAATTCAAGGTAGGGGAAATGCAAAGATTATTTATTTATATTAAAATTTCATCCTCCATTTGGATTCCATAATTTTAAGCTATTGACAAGATGTTATGATGTTGTGGATACCAACTATACTTAAATACAAGAGAGCTCTGAATAAAGTTAGGGTTGTATGGATTGTAAATTTAACAGTAGTCGTGAAATAATAGCCAAAGGAAATCTTCAACCGAGTTTTCTCTTTACAAACTGATACCATACCATTAACTCCTTAATTAGCAACGTGAATAATTACACAATTAAACACTGTGGGTCCGGGCAGTGGAGTGCACGGGCCCGAACCACCTCGTCATCATGTTGTGGTGTCGGAAAAAAAAACTTCAACTTGAAATGCATTTCGAGTCAATCCGACGTTGTTGGGACCTAAGTCTGCCTCGGGAAAAAGGGATTCCTCGATTGAGTCGTTATAGTGTGCACTGTGCAGTGGAGCTCTTCGTCTTCTCCGGTGAAACCACTTCCGCAAGACAACGGTTATTGCTCACCACGACCACCACCTGGGAATATTCATCAGCTGTGAAGGCGCGTGTGCTTTATTCATTCTTTTCTAACTAATCACATGAGTGTCCGACTCATCAATCAAATACTATAAAGATCTATCATTAGATTATACTTTCAATACAGTATGTTTCATTTACAATGTAATAACTTAAACTCACGATCTTATTATTAAAAAAATTAGTGTTTTATCTCATTAAATCAATTGGTTATTGGTAGTACTTTATTCATTTTCAATTATCGATAAATGATATTTTTTTAATAATTCATTAAATAATATATTTTTAATGATTATAATTTTTATTATTAACTTTTAAATAGTTTTCTTAAAAAAATAATAAGATATTTTGTTAAAAATCTTTCATAATAAAATCGTATTAAAACACAATCTGAGCAATGAAAGGGAGAAAGAGTAAGAAATTATAAAATGCGAAAACACATAAATTATTAATAAATCAAATAGAATGCGAAGTTGAATGCTTTGAAAAATTTTTGAATAAGAAAATTAGTATGCTAAAACTAGACAAACCACACATCTAAACGAAATTATTAAATAAACATAATTAATATCATGTAATGTTATTAATTCTTTAATATAATTAAAATATATTAACTATTTTGGTAATTAAATTATTATCACAATAAAAGTACTTCAAACTAGGATTAAATGAAAATAATAATGTATTTCTTATTATATCCTTTTTCAATACACGAAATAGCAATTTCTAACAATCTTGAACGCCGATGAATGTACTAACATAGTCACCGAAGAGATGATTGGCCGGAAGACATTGCGTCACCTTCTGCACTCACGGTTGCGCTTGTCGCAGTTCGGATGTTTTTTCGGCTGATTGCCCGGTGGTGTGCACGGGTGCAAACCATTTCGCCCGCATGTTGCGACGGCTAGAACTTCAAATACGTTTTGATCGTTCAAAAAATTAGCTCCAGTTGCTTCATCAGGAAATAACTGAATTGTTTCCGACTCCACTAATCCAACGTCGTTTAAGGCTACATCGACCTCCTCGGAAGCAGCCGCTGCAAAACAATGAGAGGTGCTCGCCACCATCATCACCGTCATCAGAATTGCCAAAAATAAACCTCTCTTTTTTTATTGTAATGTCCCATTTTTGTTGAGTGAGTTGTTTAGAAATGAGTTAGAAGGGTCTATATATATATAGCTAAGCAGCCATGGAGTATTCAGCAAATGTGAAAGAGCGTGGGGCTTTGATCATTTTCCCTTATTGGCTACCTTTTTCTATTCTTATTTATTTTCAATATTGAAACTGAGTCCACTGGTTGACTGCTCCTACTGACTTTCATTTTAACTCATTCAACTCTCTTTTAAATTAGGTAGATTATATATATATATATTATAACTATCGAGTATCTGATATATTAATCAATTAGTTCAGTCAGGTATTATAATTTATAGAGGTTTATTATGTAGCGACCTTCCTAACTCAATTTATTCTATTCACAACGGCAAAATTTAGGTTAGATTATATTAGAGATTATTAATCTATACTCAAATGATAATTTCGATTATATAATAGTTATAAAATGATTATTAAATTGTTATAAAATAATTATAATAACTATGAAAAAAGACATAAATGGCCACAAAACTATACTGAAATAATCTTTTTGATTACTAAAGTTTTAGAAATTAAAAAATGACAATTAAACTTATCAAACTATTACAAAATTATCTCTGCACGTTATAAAATAATGATAAATTTTAATAAATTTAAAGATCACTTTATAACAATTCGATATATTTAATTTTCATTTTGTAATAATTTGATAAAATTAAATGATCATTTCGTGACCATTGAGAAGTTTAATTAATATTTTATAATTTTTTAAATTTCAGTGACCAAGAGGATTAATTCTATATAATTCAGAGATCATCTGATTACTTTATTCATAAAAATTAAAACAAATAATGATCATTTAATAACCATTAATATATTTAATAATCATGCTATAACTTTAGAGGAGAAGAAAAACCCTCAAAGAGTCTAATTGGACAATCCTTACATAAACGAGACCAATATTTAATGTTGTTTATGTCATTGCTGATGCGAACCCACCTCAATGTTTTTTAGACCAAGTATTCTACTGTTTCACACTGAATCATTGTCCTTTTCGTTTGTCCTGATTTTCTTTCACCTTGCTCGACAGAAACTGATAGGTACGACTCGGTCTTTCTAAATTACAATACAAGCCAGTTGAAAATTTGGAACTTGTAAGAATCTGCTTTTACATCGGTAGGTGGTTGTCAAGGGCGACGCCGGACCGTAACGGAGTCGGAGGAGGCCACTTGACTTTGTAAACAATGGTGACCCACTAGGCCGAATCCGCCATGATCCTTTGACAAATCTTCCCCGAAGCACGTTCGAACTCGCAACCTGTAGAATGTTACAACAATAACAATAGCATAACAATAACCATGTATAAGGATACAATTTTTATTGCCTTTGGTGACAGATACATAAGGCTACTTGCTTCAGTTTCTAACTTTTCAGAATTTCCTTTTTCTCTGTTCATGGAAAGAATGTATTCAAAAGCATCAAAGAATCATAGCCAGATGCAATGTGTCTCTTAAAATCAGTAACTAATCTGTTTAATGAAGTGATTCAACTTGTTTATCACCAAATTTGCCGCACAATCGCCGGCCATTTGGAGTATGAAAAATAGTAATAATCTGACACGGCTGTCTTCTGAAATATAACGACTCTCAGTCAGCCAACGACCTAAATTTCTGCTCTTCATGTGACGAGAAGCAAAATTGTTTGACGTTGTTGGTCATGTTTAGTTGTCTTTCACACATAACCGCTCTGAAATGAAAACAAAAGGACATTTTTCAAACTGAGTTCAGGTTACAATTATGAAGGAAACAAGAGGACACAAATTAAGATGAAGGCAGCATTAAAATGCAAACTTGACAGGAACTATACGCATGACTAAATACAGGGAAACAATCAATCCATTAATTCAGTCACATGTAGAACTATAGCAATACCTTCAACTGTAAAAGAATACAGATAATAATTTGAGTTCAATGGAAAAGTGGAAGGATGGTAGAAAAGAAAATAAATTTTGAGTGTGCTTGGTATTAACGAAAAGTGAGAGGAAAGAATGCAAGAAAGATGAACACTTTCCAACTTAATGCACGAAAACAATTCATTCCAATCGGAATGAAAAAAAAAGGAAAGAAAATGAGAGAGAGACGTGTGCATGTTTACAAGATTATGCATTTTAAAAATATATATATAATTTTCTTTCCTCTCATTTTTCAACTCAACCAAGCAATTGATGGAATATAATTACTTTTTATTTTTTTATTTTTTCCGTCTTTCCTCCCAAGCATACTAATGGAATGAAAAAAAAAATTCTCTAGTTTTCTCTTACTCTTTTCATCTTCCTAATTTTCTTTCCACCCTACCAAGCAAAGGGAACTTTTATACTTTATGTATCACATCATCACTTTGACACTAGAAGGAAGTACAAGTAAAAGAGACGAAAGGGTCCATACTCAGGTATTCATAAGCTAATATCATTGAGGTTCCCCATGCTGACATACTGAAGAATCTTGGACCCAAGCCTCTGTAAAAACCTTTCCAACCATCATCTGCAATTAAGATCTTTGCGACTTGTCTTGCGGAAGGTCGATTCTCATGCCCCATCACCTGGAATACAGAAACAGCTAATTAATAAAACAAAATAAAATAAAACACCGTGAAAATGTGCAGTATATCAACCAAACCACCACTATACAGATCTAGAAAAGGAAAAAAGAAAATGCAGTAACCATTCTAGTTCTAATTTGAGAATATGTGTTCAACCTTCAAAGAAAATGGTTTACTTACTATAACTAAACACAATCTTTGTAATAGGAAATATCACATAAATTATTAAAAGAAAGAGCAACTCCAGATTCAACAATGGAATTATCTAAATCACAATGCAAAGCAAAAAGAAAGATATGTTACGGTCAACATAGAGAGGAAGCAAAATACAAAGATAAATTAATGTCAACGAGGTCAGAAGAACACCTGTAAGCGAGTCTTAATAGTATCCAATGGAGTTGTGATGCAGGAAGCTGTAGCACCCGCAATGATTCCCCCGGCAGCTTGCACTGACACTATAGTCCATGTGCTAGGAGCAACTTCCTTCAGGTCTGAACCATGGCCTAACAAACTACAAAAAGTGATAGTACATGCCTAGTCAGAGAAAAATTAAGAACACATCAAATGGCAGAAACTCTGCTAACCAAAAATCATAAAGGTGAAAAATCCATCCCCTTTGGAAGCCTAAATTTGATCTAAGAAAAAGTGTGTTAGGCAATGATTAGTTGTTGATAAGTCAATTACCTGTTGCACTCTAAAAGCACACTCAACTATTTTCCATAAACAAAATTTAACCCGGCCATAAACAAAAGAGAGAAGATAACAACAAAAGCAATCACAACTAACCTCCAGATAACACGTTGGCTAGAACCATAACTAGCCCACCATACAGCACTGGACGGAGAGTAAGTCATGACAGACAGACCAAATCCTCTGTATAACCCTCGGATTCCATCAGCCTTTATAACCTTCCGAGCAACATCTAGACCCCCATTGTAGTTTGCATGGCCTGAGTATCCTTGTACCATCAACTTTTGACTAATCTGTGCATAAATTCATGACAATGAAAATTTACATTTTTTCAGCTTTAGTTAAAGGATAAGAGCAACAAGAAGGACAGCATATTTAATAGATAGAGTGAATTTTTTTGTGCATTAAAGCATTTTGAAAAGATTCTGAGTATGGGGGGAGGGGGGATTTCATCGAATCGGGTGAAGGCTGCAGCATATAATTTTGCTTATATATTAAATAACACAACAAATTAAGCTAGAGAGAAAAATTCTCATGTAAGAATCTGAACTACTGACCACATCAATTGGAACAAAAACACCTTGAGCAAACAGAGATGCAGTCATTCCAGCAATTCCATTAGCTATAGCGGCTTGTGTAGGTTCAGAAAACTTAAATGGTTCAACCATGCGGAAAGCAGCAACTTTCGTAGTTTCTAGAGCAGTTAGAAATATCACCCTCGCAGGAATCGCACCAGTGATGACTGTTCCAAACCCTCGATAGAGACCAGGGACTCCATCATTTTTCAATATGCCTCTGATAACTGAGAAGGCATTTCTGTCTACAGTGTCTTTTGAAGCAACCTGAAGCCTAGTTTTTACAACAGATACAGGGTACAATGCTACTGTAACTCCAGTAAAAATTCCAGCTCCTACAACGTAAAATTTAGTTTTGTCGAGTCTGCATCAAGAGCAGAAGCTAATAAGAATTGACAGCAGGAAAAAGAAACTATTTCCAAATCTCTGTTGACAACAAAATACCAATCAAAATAACTCAAAAAGCAGTAGGAAAGCAAGATCATCTTACAAGGATTGTGCTGAAGATATTCACTAAGAAATTTATCAGATTCAAAATTCTTAATTGTTAACTGAATGAAGTTCCACCCGCAAATAAAGACAATAAAAATCGATGAAATGCCGAGCAGTTTATTGCACAAAATGCAGAGTCTGTCAAGCAGTTGAAAGGGGGAAAGGCCGAGAAATGTTAAGGATAACACTAACGCAGAGGATATTCACAATTGAAGAGGCATCATTCATCTAATCTTGAACAACACATGGATACTCTATTTTCATCCTTATTCATCTAAAATCCTATCCTCGTCACTACTTTCTTAAAATGAAATCTGTGAACTAAAACAAACAATAAGAAAGACATCTTAGAGGATATGATTCAATCATTTGAACAGCTCAATAAAAATCAAATCTAGACTCTAAATTTATAATCCTTAACCCATTGCACACACAAAAATAAGAAGACTGGATTCAACCAAGCTAAACCCAAAACTTGATTACAAAATCAACTACAACAACAAAATCAAAATTTCCACAAAGCAAGTAATTCATTTCATTCAAAACAAGAAACTCGATAAATGAAATGAAATAGATCAAGCAATTCGTTACAATAAATAAAAACAAAACAAAAAAGCGTTAAAACAGAATAGAATAAATAAAATTTATGAATTAATTAAAGAGATTAACGAATAAATAAACGTACTTGTCCCAATTAATCTCCGTCTGACCAAACGTCTGCATTCTCGAACTCGAAGCATCCATTCTAAAATCAATCGAAAACAATACGAAAAAAGGAAAAGAAAAAACAAAACTCCCTCAAATTAATTTATACAGTAATAATCCACCTTTCCTTCATAAAAACAGCAAAACAAAAATCCTGTTAAATGGAAGAAAGAAAGGAATAGAGAGGGATTGCTTCTTTCTTTCTTTTATTTTTTGTTTTCCCCCCTTCGAAGTGCCTGCATTCCCAGATATCGAGGGGAAATAATTCTTTAGAAAATTTAAAAATAATTAAACTAACCTTTTTGTTCTTTGACAATTGGTGTGAATTTTTGGTCAAATTTTGTAGGAGATCCCTATTTGTTGAATTGATAGAAAATACAAACAAAGGGTTAAATTTGTTGAATGATTTAGAATTAGAATTAAATTGTAAAATTTATAAATATTGAAAATTAAATATATAAATTTAGAATACTAGATTGATAGGATTTTTAAATAAATAAATATACTAAAGTATATAAATTATTTAAAATTAATAAAATTTATAAGTATTAGAAAATAAATATATAATTATACCAATTAAAAAATATTGTATTTTGACTCAAATTATAATTGATGTAATTCTAATAGTCGAAGATTACTTGATAATTGAGTTTATTTAATAAGTGAATACTTATTTTAGAAAATAATTCTTATTTCACAAGAATTCTTGGCGACAAGAATTTAATTCTATAACTTTTGGGATTTATGTTGCAGAGATATATAGTAGGACATTAAGATAGTGATTTGGGATACTTTTGATTTAGGTATAGATATCAAATTTTAAGGTAATTGAGATACTATGTATTTTTACCATTCGTGGTTTTTATATTTATAATGGACTATTGTTCTTTTTATCTGTGGAGGTAGACAAAATTTAATCACATTAAATCTTATCTTTTGTACATGTCTTATTTTATATTTATCTCACTTTAATTATTTTTCAGTTTTAAATTCCTAAAAAATTAACATATTTTTAGTCATCAATTTAACCTAATATTTTAAAAATTGAAGTATAACATTAATGATTAAATTATATCAATAGCATTAACGGGAAATATTGACTTCGGAAGTGTGGTTACAAATTTGGAAAAGTAAAAGTTACAAAGGATTGAATTATAAAGACAAATCCATCAAATATGCATAATCTAAGGATCTTTTACAGAATTTGTCCTAAACTTTTTCTTCACGGCTTTGGAAATTGGAAGTTGTTTGACCGCGGAGGTTCCGTTTGGCGGCTGATTACTGTACATCAATACAGCTTGTTTTTGGACAGCGAACTTATTTTGAATTAAAATTGAAAATAATTAAGATAAATGCTCACATAAAAGTTCAACTGATTATTCGTATAAAGATTTAATCTTTAAAAGTAATCAAACAAAACTCTAATATTATGTTATATATTCAAATAAGGGATAAACATTTAGATAAAAGGCTTTATATTTTTAAATATATTTAAAAGCACGAATTCTTGTGATTTTTGTGATAAATGAATTATTATAAGTTTCGGGTTCGCGCATCAGAAATATCAGGAGTACAAACGTTAAAATATTGAGAGTTATTTGATCTATTAGTCAATTAATCTGGATCATGTATTATAAAAATTTGAATAAATCTTTCGATTCGATTTATTTCATTTATAATTAAACCAGATCGAATGGTGCAGTTTTAATACGAGAGTAATCTCGGCCATGGTGTTATGAATACAAAACTTTCATACTCGATGAGAGTATAATAATCAGCAAAGAGTGAGTAACAAGAAAACCATTGTAGCAATGAGTGTAAAGATGGAGAAAAGGTACTGTTGGTGTGCAGAATTGGGTAGAAAAGGGTAAGTATCAGGGGGAGGTAACATGCATTCATCGCCATTGAAATATACTTTCCTCGGAAACGCCCATCCTTGCTTGAACGTGAAGGTATCTTTGTCTTTTCGAAGAAGCACCTCGGATTGAACGTTTCCGAATGGCCCGGCTTCCATCAATAGGTCATTGTAGAACTTCATGCCGTAGAACATCCCGGTGTCGTCTGCATACGCGTGACCGAATAACATGGTTACGTGATATCGGATAATGCATCGAGAGAAAACGGAGAAAAAAAACTCAGGATACTCACTGATCGATTCGTAGGGGAGGAGAGGCTTGTAATCGAAGCTGAAGACTTGTGTTACGCTGTTAAGATTGGGGTGCTGGACGACGAGGCTCCAAACCGTGTAGTTCATCCGGTAGTTGAAGTTCGTGATCGAGACCTTAACTCGCCAGTAGTCCTTGTAGTTGAGTTTGACATGCCAATGAACCCGAACCGGGCACATATGGTGCGTGCATTGAAGCAATGGGGCGTTATCTTTCCGTGGAGTGTTTAGTCCTTTCATTTTAAGAATCTTGGAACTGTCCCTGCATCGTTATCAGTCATCGTAAGGTTCCGATTCTCATGCTCAATCAAATAAATAAAAATCAAGTGTATGATGTCTGAAATGGCAGCTTACTTGACGCAGTTGTTTTTGTTTTGGCATCCGCAAGAACAAGTTGGGCAAGGAGTGATGGTCTCATTGTAGAAAGACGAGAAAGAAACGCAACAATTCGGGTTTTTTCGAGCTAGAAACTGCGAATAAGTGCAGGTCACATTCCATGTCACTGCAGATACATACAGCATAAGACATGATTAATCACTGTAAATTAGGATCACATTCATGTGAGCAGAAAGAAAAAGGAACTTACTGAGTGCCTGAGTTTTTCGGCGGCGATCCGGGGTGAGAAAAGTGGTGGAAGGGACAACCTTCGCCGGACCACAGGTGTATCCTGGTCCAGGACCGAGTAATGTAAAGTTCTTGGGAAGTTTGACGGTCTTGTTCGAAGTGCCGGCCGATCCTACACTGACTTGGAAAGCAGAGACGGCACCTTGAGGATCTTGACCCCATGCCGGAACCACACCCCCTTTGCAACAATTGGTGAATTGTTGGTTGTAGGGAACACCGGGGAGCAGGTCGACAACCGTGGGTGTCTTCTTGCAGCAATGAGGTACGTTCCCCTTGAACTTGGAGCAGTCGCCTTGCTCGGTCGTTTGCGCCCCGTTCATCGACCATATCACTTCTTTCTTAGCCCATGTCCACCCCAAGGTCCAACCGGGACTCATGATGTGCCGATACATTTGGAAATTGTTCATTGTCACGACAGCCTGCAGGGGAAACTGTTATTGCCAAGTTGCCAACCGGAACTTACATTACGTCAATCATCTATGATCGAACTAACACTTACGACGTAGCCATCGGGCGTCCAAGACACGATATCCCATTTGATAGTCACGTTTCCATTTGGATCCAAGGGATCATATGCATCTGCAACCACAAATGCAGGGCCATTAAACAAACTGAAACGAACCAACCAGAGGATGATCAAAAAGAAAACTCTATCATGTTCACCTGTATGGGAAAATAGCACAAACAGGAACAAGGCCGAGACGACGAACCTCATGATCTCCGTCGACTTGTAGCAGAGATCGGATTCCTAATTCGAGTGATTTATTGAAATGAAACTGCAATGGCTAACTATAAATAACAATTCTCCATATCTTTGAATGAGGATAGCTTACCAACTGGTTGTTAAGTACTGGTATCGTGTCTTTCAGTCGTGTGTGTGTGTAAATATATCTATATATTCTTCTGAGCTTTCCATATCTTAAAGCAACTGCTATGTCCAAGACTAAGTAGAAGACTAAAAAGTTATCTGAACACAACATCTCAACTCGTTGAGGGTGACCTTGCCAGGTTTTTTTTCTAACAACATTGAAGTTACGTTATTTCCGGAAGCTTGGTATATAAATAAATTAATAATCTTAAAAATTATTATAATTTTAATAGATTAGGTATATAAATATTATTTGTATCGATAAGAGAAGAAAAAGAACATTTGGAGTGATTTTTACACATTTTATAGCTTTCAAAGTTGCAGGTAATAATAATCGGTCGTCGTTTGAGAAAGAAGCAAAGGTGAATCATTAGATTTTGCCACCTCAGTCATACTGTAATAATTGTAAAAGTACAAAATAATTTGATAAAATTTAATAATATTTTTTTGTAATTTTAAAAGTTTAATAATAAAATTATTTATTTAGAAATAATTCAATGGTTTTTGGTATCTCATTCCGTTCTTAAAGCGGTGACATATACGTTGCCATTATAATAAGATAAACGTATGGTTTTATTCAACTGATATTTTCGACTAACAAAGATAGATGAAAGCAATTTACCAATGTGTACGAAAATGGTACGTTTTTCGGATATCTTTGTAGTCATTTTGATGGTCGCACAAAGATTCTCACAACGTTTGTTTTCTGATTGGTTTAGATCATATCTTTGGTAAAAAGTTGTTTTTTGATTGGTTTGTTAGTGGTTACATATAGTTTGAGCACGATATTTGTAGAAGTGTTTGAGCGTTCATCGTCTAATGATTAAAAATATTTCAAACAAATATTATCTTGTAACCACGCGAAACTAATACAAAAAATAAAAAGTTGAAGATGGACTAACGGAGGCCCAATGTAATAGCAAGAGACTAGAAAGATGGACCAAGTCCTTGGATGTCCACTAGAAAGATGGTTCGAGATTAACTAATAGCTTGCCGATGGTTATGGTTGATGGGCCTGGAATAGGTCTAATTTTGTTTGTTTCGATTCGATTTAGAACGTAATCTATTCTATTTAATTCCAAATCGATCTAATAATTAATATTTTCTTATCTACTTGAGATATGAAATGTAATTTTATTTTATTTAATCCGATTCGATTCAATCATTTATTAATTATTTTTTAAAAATTAAGTATTAAAATATTATGATTGGTAATATAATTAGATACCTTTCCAACCTCTACCACTAGATGATGTAATTGGTAAACCGACTTTTAGGTTGATGATTGTTGTTTATTTTGTGATTGTGAGATGATTAAGAAATTAATAATTAATAATTTTTTTTTATTAACTTGAGATAAATATAAGATAATATTTATTTAAAAAATTTAATCATTTAATATTAAACGTTCATATTTGTTTATATGTGGTACACTCTTATCTAATATGATCCGATACATTTCATAATTATTCATTTTAGTGAAAAAAAATAAGGTTACCAAAGACTTTAAACCTTAAATGATACTCATGAACCAGTACTTGAAACATTGAAGATTCCGAGCAAATACAATACCCCAATCAAAGGTAGCTCTGAGTGGCGGATGCTGAAGGTTGTAGATAAGAAAAAACCCAGTATTTATCACCCTACAGTTGCAAAATTTGAGCATTTGATTCAATGTTTTGTTGAAAACAAACTGCTTTTGTCATTACATGGTGACGACTGGTTTGCCTTTTTTGACTGTCCGAAACACTGCTATCAAAACTTTTGTTGTTTGTCGGTTCCATGCTCTGCTATATTTTTATCACCCCCTCGAAGTTGGACCAGTCTGCTTTCCTAAAGATAAGGGATTACCACTCGTCAATTTCTTATCGTTTTCATTCAACTGTGCATTGACTACAAAGTTGCTGTAAAACATTTGAGATTAGGATCGAACATTGAGAATGATCAAGGTGCTATAAAGTTGGACTGTTCTATGATGTTTTCTCCTCTCATTATCTTTTATCATTTTATCGGTTTAGATTTTATCTAATTCGTTTTAAAATTCATAAAAGTGAATCGTAAATTCAAAACTCATTAAACCCCGTCACTCTGAAATCTAATCCATAATATCTACCATTTGAAAGAATATGTTTCATCGTCGAGAAATCAAAAAAAAATTGAAAATATATATTGACAAATTCTAAATCAAAATTCTAATCCTATCTAGAGAGGAAGAAAAAAGGATTCTACAGAAAGGAAGGGAGTATTCTTAGTGGGTCTAGAACTTATGATATAAAAAAAATATAATGGAATAAAGATGAGTAGTTTAACCAACCGACCAAATATGTTTGCTTTAAAATAGTCTTTTAGATTTACTGTAAATTAGCTTTTGAATAATCATGGTCAAAAGCAAGTCATACTGATTCATTCCACTTACTTTTCCTCATTTACTTTAATTAAGTTGTTAAATAATTAATTAATTGTTACTATCATACCATTATAATAGGTATACAACATGGAGTTACATCACCACCAAAACACACATACAAAAGAGCAAACACTTGCAAAGGAACAGAGAAAAAGTAAGTGATAAATCAGTAATGGAATTGAGTCCCTAGCTACCATGGGAGGGATCTCACAGTGTCCTCAACAAGGAATCAAAAGGCACTCAATACCCTAGCAAAAATGCCTATGATCCTTGGGTTCAAGATCTGCATCAAGTCCTCGATCTATCTGATTTAGGGTTAAATCTTGCACAGGGATTGATCAAAGGGACTGATATGCACGATTGTCCTTTAAAAAATTTAAATTTTCATATAATTTTAATTTTTTTTTGTATTTTCTATTGATGATATGTTATTATTCTCTTAAAATTTTATAAATTTATCTTTATCTCCTAACATAAAATCACGTGTTTGTTCCTAGTCACGTGCATGCATGTTAAAGATGATGGGGGGCTTGTGAATTATTTCTTCAATCATTTTGAGCTTTGAAAAAAGAAAGAAAATGTTGCAGGTGGCACGACACTTGGTGCATCTTGCAGATATGTTGAGGGCATCCATTGTGGTTTTCAACATGCACCTTGCTACCCACCCATTCTTGCTTGCCCTAAAATTATCCCCACTTTTCTTCTACACTTTTTTTTGGCCTCAGTTTATATGTCCATTGAGGACCGTAGCTTTTCGATTTTTGTTTATTTTTTTAAAGATATCTTCCATGTTCGTTTTACGATTTATATTCAGAGTTCCTGGTTGTTCCTCCAACAAATACAAAAATAATTGAGACCTTATAAGGTTCAACAATTACGGGTATGGGGTTAATGTTATCACAAGGGAAATGAAAAGAATGGAGAGACAATGACATTGGTATTTGCAATTGAATGGATCGTCTGTTTCATGTATTTTTCACCAAAAAGAAAGAGATTCCAGTCCAACTTTCACTTCCCTTTCTCCAATTGCTTTCGTAAAAAAGGCTGAAAGAAAAGAAAAAGAGAAAAAGCTACCTGTAACTTAGCCAAGGGGGCACGAATTCAAAGTAAACATTTTATTATATTTGTTCAAGTGCAGCTCTATCGAAAATTTTTATAGATTTTACATACAGAATTCGTTTAAAGTATTTCTTTTTAGAATAGGAAAAAAATCATTATGCGAGGCTTACATAGTTTGAAATCATCCTTCAAATAGATATTGTCATCTTAGATCTGACATCAACTCTAAAAGACGATATATAAGTTACTGTACAAGAGTATTGAAAGTGAAGGTTTTCTCTTAGGCTCCCTTTTTATATCTCTCTTTTAATGATTATTTTGTTGCGGAAGACGGCTATCGAATAAAGAAAAATCACAACTAATAATTTGAAAAAATAAAAATGAAGATAAAAGAGACACAAAATTTACGTAGAAAACCCCTAAATAATATAGGGTAAAAACCACGGGCAACAGTAGAAGAATTTCACTATGAGAAAATAGGAATTACAACTTCTCTCAATCTACCAAGGAGAAAACAATGATAATTCTCTCTTGATAAAAAGAAGAAAACAACTCTCAAGAAACTCTCTAAATTCTCTCTAGTATTGGAAGAAAGCTAGAATGCTTTGGGATGGTTTTGAAGCTAAATGAGCTAGGGTATTTATAGTAGAAGCTTTAAGGACTAATCTTGAAAATACCCTAAATTACAATGACTAAATGTGAGATTTTGCCATGTCACTTTTCAACCATTATTAGTGCCAACTATGAACCATTATTGTTGCCAACTTACAATGCATTATGAACCATTGTTATGCATTATACAACTATTATTAGTTGTATGACAACTAATAATTTTGCATGACAACTAATAATCTCACACTTGAAGATTTGATTAGAATAATCATATATTCACACCATTCTTTCTACCTTGTACCTTCATGTTGCTTACGTTTCTAACAGACCACAAGAGGATCGACACCAGGTAAATTTATCAGCGTTGATCGCCTTCGTCAAGAAATCTGCTATGTTGTCTTTGGTATGGATCTTCTGCATATCTATCGTCCCTTCTTCCACCTTTTCACGAATGAAATGGTACTGAACTCGTATATGCTTTGTCCTTGAATGAAATGCTGGATTCCTTGCTAGATGCAAGGCGCTTTGACTGTCACAAAATAGAGAGATATACTCTTGATTGTGCCCAAGCTCCTCTAATAGCATCTTCAACCAAATTGCTTCTTTATTGGCTTGTGTAGCTGCTACATATTCTGCTTCTGTTGTGGATGTAGCCACAACTGACTGCAATTTTAAAACCCAGCTTACAGCTCCACCAGCAACTTTAAACACATATCCTGTAGTAGATTTGCTTTTATCCAAATCCCCTGCATAGTCAGAATCAACATACCCATTGATAAGTAAATTTGATCCTCCGTAACATAATGCAATATTT